TCAAGGTTAAAAAAAAAAAAAAAAAAAAAAAAAAAATTAAAAAAAAAAAAAAAAAAAAAAAAAACGGCTACCAAGGTGGTGCCGTCAAATTAAATAATCGCCTCGACAATCAGAAAATTATGCAAAATGCCGTATAAGATACGAAAATCGTTGGTAAAACGGATGATCGAAGGAACGAAGAAGGAAAAAAAAAAAGTTAAATGCAAAAAACGCCGCGGGGAACAACTATGATAAATCAGCCGAGACGACGAGGAAAAAAGGGCTTGCTTTTTAATACGAGACACGCGCGATCGTGCACATCCGGCACAATGTGCAACAGAGAGAGAGAGAGAGAGAGAGAGCTGTATGCACACATGTATATCGTGTTCCCCTCCCTCCCCTTTCTCTTTTTGGTTGGTTCGCAAGGTGTGCGTGCACCGGACGAATGAATTATTAATAGCGCGAGCGATCCCTCTCGCGCGCAATTTTCGGCCCCGGCGGGATTTACGACCGGCAACACACAGACCTGGCGTGATTTTGCCGGCATGCAAATCGCACGCGGCAGGGATGTTCAGCGGTCCGGCCGAGCCCTGAAGGATCCTGCAGGTGTAGTCGCCGCTGGTGTCGGGATCGTTGGGATGCACGTCGGCTATCTTGCCGAGGGGCGTCTGCCCGTTGAACGAGTAAACCTTCACGTGGACGGACCTCGGACTCGATGGACTGTCGTTCTGGTCGAGGACGTGGACGGTTATCGCGTGTTCGCTGCTCAGCCTTGGTGTACCCGAGTCCTCCACTTCGACCTGTCGACATTAATTATTTTAATACGCGCGAGCTCTTTGTATTCAAGCTCCTAGACGATAGTCTACGAGCTGAATCGAAGAATCGTAGATTTTTAAGTGGTTTGGACTCGGTTAATGGGTCCTAGTCTGGTGATTTTACATGCTCATTTGAATTTGCTTCACTCGATATATGTTACCACTATACTTACCAAAAAATCTAGCTGCGGTGTAGCTTCTCTGTCCAAGCTTCTGGTGGTCTTCAAGATGCCCGAATGTTTCTCCAAGTGGACCAAGTCCATTTGTTTTCCTCCGATTAGCCTGTACGAGAATGGAGCCCCGTTTGGGGGTAAATCGGGATCGGTAGCGCTCAGTGTCATAATGCTCGTACCGGCTGGCTCGTTTTCACTGACGTACCCGACAATTTCCTTGAAATCGAAAACAGGACCATTGTCGTTCACGTCGAGCAGCTCGATCTTCACCGTGGTACTTCCGGTTTGAGGTGGACTGCCGGTGTCGATGGCCCCGATGATCAATTCGTAGCTTTGCACTGTTTCCCGGTCCAGATGCTTCGCGGTTTCGAGGTCCCCGGACTGCGGATCGATTTTAAAAGCTTGTCCGACATTCCCGCCGATTATCGAGTACGAAAATTGGTTGTTCTGGGGTCTAACGTCCTTATCGACGGCCCGCACGGTCAATATCTTAGATCCCGTGTTTTCTCCCTCGGGAACACTGGCTTCGTACAGATTTTCTAAGAACTCTGGAGGATCGTTTCCATCTTGAATCGAAATAATTATCTGAGCTTCGTCGGTGTCGTTGCCCCTGATACCTCCAGCATTCTTTGCCATTACAGTCAGAATAGCTCGATTTTGTGTTTCCCTGTCCAGTCTAAAACACATTGTGGTAAAAGAGTTAGTACTTAATTATAGTTAATCATATAGAGATAGTTCAAATCGGTTTACCTCCTTGATATACTTATTACTCCGGTTTCCGATCCGATCGAGAATCCACGATCGTTCGAGGAACCGACGAACAAGTAATAAACTTTTCCGTCGCTTCCGGCATCTTGATCGGTGGCTTGGACTAGACCAACAAAAGTTCCAATTTCCGCGCTTTCGGAAACATCCATGTGGAAAACCGGTTGGATGAATTTAGGATAAAACTCGTTGACGCCAGTTATGTGAACCAATACAGTTGTAGCACCGACCACTTGAGAGTTTGTGTCTGGATTCGCAGCAATGACGTCCAACGTGTACTCGTTGACCTCTTCGTAATCGAAGGTCGTCTTCGATTTGATAATCCCAGTGCTTTGTTCGATATTAAAGTACTCCTTGCCAGTTCCACCGATGATTCGATATTGAATGACAGAATACTTGGGTGAGTCAATATCTGTCGCCACAACTTTGAATACAAAATGTTGGGACGGCGAATTCTCGGGTAAGTAAGCTTGGTACAAGCTCTGATTGAACTTTGGTGGATTGTCATTGACGTCGGATACATTTACGATCAACGTTGCGACTGCAGACTTTGATGCGAACCCTAAGTCTCTGGCAGTGATGTTAAGTTTGTACTCTGTGACTGTATCGTAGTCCAAAGCTTCAAGAATGGTTATGGCACCAGTAATTGGATGGATGGAGAACTCGTGACGCTCGTTGCCAGCTGAAATCTCATACCTGACCATTCCGTTGGGCCCGCTGTCAGAGTCCACAGCGTTCACAGTTAAAATGGTCGTATTCGCCGGCTCATTTTCCGGCACTCGAACTTGATAACTGACTGCAGCAAAAGCCGGGGCGTGCTTGTTTTCCCCAGTCACAATAAGAGTTGCCCAAATTTCGTCACTCCGTACAGGAACGCCCTTATCTGTAGCCTTTCCTTTGATCGTAAATACCGTGCCGGTGTTGAATTCAGCCATGCTTTTCTTTATGTAGATCCATCCAGAATTCGGTTCCACGTAAAAGTAGTCGCTTCCGTTTCCAGCAACGATGAAGTATTCGATCTCGGCGTTGACGCCGAAATCTTCTCTGTCCGAAGCAACGAATTGAGCCACTTTCTTATTGCTAGGGTATCCCTCTGGCACTGGCCACAAATACGCTCTGTGTTCAAATTTCGGCGCATGGTTGTTGGCATCAACGATATTCACGTAGACCAGTGTTTTAGAGGACAACGGGGGTTTTCCATTGTCCATAGCTACAACGTAGAACGAATAAACGTTCTCCGGCGATGCCCGGCTTTTCGTGTATTTGTAACGCATGGTTTTTTTGCAATAAATATCCCCCATCGCGGGATCAATCGAAAATAAATCAGATGGCTGCAGTAAGCTGTAAGAAACATCGGAATTAGCCCCCAGCTTGTCCTCATCGCTCGCTACGACTTGCCCTATGTGGGCCATTTTCTCTTGCAACTCTGGAAAATGGAAGTAGTACGTCTGTTTCTCGAATTCCGGAGGATTATCATTTTGGTCCTGGACGGATATGGTCAGGGGTGTTTCCGTGATCCATGCTCTATCGGTAGCCACGACTTTTAACAGGTATTCATCCTGAACTTCGCGGTCCAAATTACCGGCCACAGTGACGTTACCGCTGATTGGATCTATGGTAAACTTGTTGCTGGAATTTTCGGTGAAACTGTACGTCACGTTGGCATTGTGTTCCATGTCCAGGTCTGTCGTGGTGATGCGGATGACAAAAGTACCGATCTCAGAGTTTTCGGTGACATTGACGTTGAACAGTCGGGTGAATCGAGGCGGATTGTCATTTTTATCGAGGACGGTCACGAAAACCGTCGCTGTGCCGGTAAGACGCGGTACCCCGCGATCCCAAGCTTCGACTATCAATTTATACGACGACACCTAAAAGTGGAGTTATTAATAAATCTTTGAAATCATTTGTCTGCATGTCGATCGATAGTGTTTTCGAGTTTCCTTACCTTCTCTCTGTCCAGCATGGAATTTGTGCTTATCTCCCCAGAAAACTCGTCAATCACGAACACCTCGTCAAAATCATTGAGCAGATGGTACGTGATCTCGCTATTTTCACCAGAGTCGGCGTCTTTGGCCGATACTCTTGCCACGCGAGACGGTGGGTAGTCTTCCTCTGGAACGGAGGCGTTGTAATTTGGCATATCCATGACGGGAGCATTGTCATTAGCATCGGTGACGTTGACTAGAAGCTGAATGACGCTTCTTAGCGAAGGATTGCCGGAATCCCGAACCTCCACCCACGCCTCGTAGCTCGGCAAAGTTTCGTAGTCAAATCCAGATGCAATAACCACCTAGAATTACCCAAAGGGTGTCCGTTTAACCTCCCGACTATAACGAGGATTTCCAGAAAACAACAATGACGACTATAAAGTATCCCGTGGTTAAAAATGATGATGGATATGTATTGGATACGCACATCCCCGGTGCGCGGCTCGATCCTTAGCGAGTCCCCGACGTTGCCCCCGGCCATGCCGAAAACGAGTTCACTGGCCGGCCCGGTTTTGGGCGTCGAGGCGCTCAGCGTCGTGACGACTCTGCCCTCGGGCGCGTCCTCCCTGAGGGTGAACCGCGTCTCGGTCCCGGGTCCGAAGCACGGGAACAACTGGCGCTCCCACAGATGAACGACCAAATCGACCGAGACCGCGCGCGGCTCGCTCCCACAGTCCGAAGCCTCGATCTGCAGCTGGTAGGTGTTTTGGCCGCCCATGGCGAGGTCCTCGAGTGCGCGCACCACCCCGCTGCGCGAGTCCACGCCGAAGCGACGCGCGTCCTTGCCGTGGAGCCGGTACACGATGCGGGAGTTGTCACCCTCGTCGTCGTCACTGGCTTTGGCGCCGAACACAAAATCGCCTACGGAACCAGAAAACCACGTGTGGAAATTGCAAACAAACTAAAAATTGAGGAAGCGTAGGCGGAGATATGGTGTTACCTTTGCTCGTGGTGTCGGGAACGTAAGCCGTGTACCTCGGGCTCGAGAACCTGGGCGTGTTGTCGTTCGAGTCGCGGACGCTTATGGTGAGATTGGCCGCGGAGGCGCGCGGTTCCGTCGGACTGGAGTCCTGAGCGACGAGAGTCAGGTGGTAAACGTCGTGCTGTTCGCGGTCGAGGGGCTCCAGAGTGACGATCTCCCCGGTACTCGAGTTCACTTGGAACCTCTCGGCTCCGTCGCCCAACAAGCTGTAACTGTCGACCAAAGGACAACACACAGATTAGCATACATCTTTTGTTGGAGACAAACGTGAGTTGATTTTGGAAGGGGGACAAAAAAAACAACGAAAGCTGCAACGTTCCGAGGATCAAGGGAGGGTCCGAGGAGCTGTCAAAGTGACAAGTGAGGTGGGGGGGGGGGGGGGTTCATGTATTATAATGCGAGTGGATCGTCTTACCGGATTTGGGCGTTGAGTCCGTCGTCCCTGTCGGTGGCCAGGGGATTAGCAACCCAGGCCCCGACGGCGAGGTTTTCCATCACCTCAGCCCTGTACTCCTGACGGCCGAACTCGGGCGCGTGGTCGTTCACGTCCAGAACGAGGATCCTCACGCTGCCTGAGCTGGTGAGCGGAAGCGTGCCTGCAACAACGACAAGAAACGCAACGAGGGGATTAACAAACAACCTCGAAGGGATTTCGCTCCCTTTAGTTGGGGGCGGGAATTATCTGCCCGAGGAATCGTCCTGCGAAAGAAACACCCCATCGTGACGATAGAATGTCTTTTTTTTTATAATTTAATGCTATCGCGTTTGACTTGCCTACACCGAGCTTAGGAGCTTGAAAAAAAAAAAAAAAAAAAAAAAAAAAAACAATTTCATCTCTTTTTCGATGCGTCTGGACTTTTGTCACTTCAACTCCAAGTTTCTAAAGATTGTAAATGAATTGCCTCTGCGTTCGTTTGCGCAAAGTACGATTGACGACGACAAAGAGGGGGTAAGAGGCGAGAAAAGTGCAAAGTGCGAGAAACCGAGTAAACACGAAAGTGGGAAAGAAAAAAATCCAAACGGCGTGTGGTATACGGGCGTAGGATGGGGTTGGACGTGTCTATGCACGGAAACAAGAAGCCCAGGAGGAAATAATGGATGCGAGAGTAAAAGGAAGAGAGAGACGAGTCTCGACAAATGGATAAATATATACGTACAAAGAAAAGTATGAGCAAGGATGGAGAAAAAAAGGGGATGTTGCTGCAAAGGCGGGAAAGAGAGGTGAGTTTTAAACTTTTGCGCCTTTTCGAGTACTCGTGCGAGCGCGGCAAGAGATATCGTTGGTATAGGTGGTGTGTGCGAGGGGCTGTCCACGTGATTTAAGTAATTTATAAAACTAAAAGACTGTTGGGTTTCTAATCGCCGATGCTTACTCGCCTAAGAGAATATTTTATTCATCACTAAAACTGAAAAACTTTTGGGCTTCTAATCGCCTTTTTTGTAATCGTGATTAATTGTGATTTAAAAATTTAATAATGATTTAATGATTTAATTGTGATTTAAATCATCAGAACCGTGATTAAATTACTTAAATCACGTGTACAGCGTGTGCGTGCGCGCGGACAATGGCAACGGGGCCGACAGGACAAGGTCGAGGCGAGAGAGATTTCTGTTTCTCAAGAGAAGACCATTGCTCGACGGCAACACGACATTGACGACGAGGAGCCGATTACGAGCTTCGCTTCGCGCGCTGCTGTCTCTCCTCCGTTTGGCCGACCCCCGCGCCCGGTTTGCATATTTCAATTCGCGGAATGCTGATTTCGATGCCTTCGGCTCTTTATGCTCGGCGACTCTCTTGCCGCGATGTTGATTGATTGCTTCGGAATGAGTGTGCGAGGAAAAGGCGCTTTTTATTTTATTTTGTTTATTTATTTATTTTTTTCATACCGAGGCCGGCTTTTGACGAGAGCACGTTTGTGCGATCGAGAGCCGCGCGCGCGCGTTTGATGTGCTGCTGAGATGCCTTCGATTAATTTATTTTCCCTCCCTACCCCCCTTTCCGACTTTGGGTTCTTAATTTACAATGCGGCTTCTTCTCCGTTGGAACTTTTACACGCTGGGGAACGAGTGCAAGAAAAAAGTGTCAGCTGCAGAGCTAATTTTGACGTGACTGTCTCTCGATGCGCCGTGAGAGATTAAACGGTACATGGTTGTCTCGCTGTATACGTATAAACATATTTATATATTTCACGAGCGATTAGAGAAACACGCACACGTGAATAATCGTGCAATTTGCGAGTAAAGTTACCTATACGTAAGCGGCATCAAATAGAGATTTTAACGTCCGACCATTACGGACTTTATCTACTGAACCGTACGCGCGCGTCTCGTTACACTCGTATAGTCCCCAGAGCGCGCGGCTAAGTTGGATTTATGTCCCCTTGCGTATGCGCCGGGCTTTTAATTCCCTTCTTCGTTGTTCCGCGCGCAAAAACGCGTCGATGCCGCTCGTGCAGTGCAAGCAAAGTGGGGAGGGACAAGAGTCGTGAATTATAAATCATACCCGGGCAGTTGTATTTCACTGAAAATTAATTATTGTATACCGCCTCCTCGAACCACCTCGAACGGGGGAAGAAAACGCGGGGGCTATGGCTTGACGACTCCTCGAACCATATTCCAATGTGTTGCCGAGGGTATGGTCGGCTGCAACAATGCGTTACCCATTGATACAATAGTTAGCCACATCTTGAATGGAAAAAGGGGAATTGCTTGAAAAAAAAAAAAAAAAAAAATTGTAAATTGTTTATCAAAGAAAGTAAGTACAAAATTTTCTCAAAAATGAGATCATCAACCACGTGTTTTTTTTTTTTTTTCAAATTGAACTAATTAGTCGCTCAATTCGGTAAATTAAATCGTGGCTTAAGAAGCAACGTATATACATGACAAAAATATATCCACGCATATATGACTGTTGAACTTTACAATTTCAGCTGCGGAGATTTTTCACGTTATGCTTGCCACCGTCTCGTTCTTACTTCTATTATTCTCCATAGGGTTCCTCACAGCTATCTCTCTCTCCGACCATATTCATGCGATGGTGATCGGCGCGAAGATCTGTTCTCCTCCTCATCTCTTTCGTTTTCTAGTGTTGCTTTGACTCCTCTGTATATACCGCCGCCAGCGTATCTTTTTCCACGCGCATATACCCTTTCGCATACTTCTATACACGTACATACCAATAATTCGCAAGCGCGTGTGTTGCACGCATGTATACAATATATATATANTTACGCGTCTACACATATACGTGTACCCTTTTTTACCGTCTGCAGCAGCACCCACCACGACGAGGCGACCAAGTTTTCAATTTTTCTTCGTCGACTGATTCTGTTCTGTTTTTTCATTTTTATTTTATTTATTTATTTATTTATTTTTTTTTTTACCTTCCTTTGGCTCTCTCGGGGTCCTTTAGTACCTCTTGCATATGCATACACGTATATACATATATACACATAAGGACGAGGGATACAAATTGAAAGGAGAGGCTTTCGGAATTGATTATATCCGAGGGAGATGTGTCATTCAATAATGCCCGTGACAATTTTTTTAATCCCCTCTGCTTCTTTTCTCTCGTATACCCTGGCTCGGCTCCTCTCTTTTTTTTTTTTTTTTTTCTTTCTCTCCGCTTTCGAGAACTTGATCGGTGTATATACATTCGGGTGGCTCGCGGTCGGTTTGCTGGGCCGATCGACGCGCGCTGGAGCGCGTATCCCCCTAATTCAGTCGGCGCGACGGGACGAGCCGGCAAATTATCAATTTATAGCTCGCTCCGCGGGCTCCTCGACAAACCCACTTGACGTGCTCGTCATATTTTTTTTTCCCCTTTCTTCTGGTAAAATTTTACGAAAAAAACGCGGATAATCCCCTTACAATCGGCACAGGTACTCTCAACCCCCCCACTTGGAAAAGGCCACACACTCGAGCGCGTCCACATCACAGCCCAATTATCTTAATTAAACACATATTTATACGCCGCGATAAGATTGCGAATCGCGTGCAGTGCCCCTCTCCCCCCCCCCTCCACACACCTATATGTAAACTGCACTCGAAGCTGTATGCATTACACCACTTGTGTACGTAAACGCGTGCATCAATTCGCGATAAATCAATGTGGCGATGAAATGGAGGGCTATATACCCCGTAGCATATCAAGAGAGGGGATGATATAACCATTACGCGGACACGAGAGAGGCTTTTCCAGTCGCGCTAATGGAATCGCTATTAATTTCCCAAGAGGAGGGGGGGGGGAGATCTACACCTCGTCATGGAGTACACGTCGGGTGACGACAAGTATACTCGCGTGCTTATATAATGCATATAGGCCGAGCAATTTTCCGCTTATTTCTACTATGAATAATAAAACGGGGTGGATGGAGTAGGGGGGGGGGGGCTCTTCTGAAACTACACTTCCGCAATTACCCGCGACGCTACACCTCTGGGGATAATTACTCGCGGGTGATTAAAAAACCCACGCCCGTGGATTCCTCGGGCGCGAAGGAACGCAAGCTGGTACATATAGGCAGGGTTGATAAAAGCGCGAGCTTGAAAGAAAAAAAAAAATTCGAAATCCGCGATCGCACGGATAATACATCGTAATAATCGTAATCTCGAGAGGGAAAGTTAAAGGGGGAGGAGGAGGGAGTGGTTGGGATGATGCGTCGCTCGCGTCGGGCAGGTGAACGAAAAAGGAAAAGACCAGTCTCGCCCGTGTACGTCGATTATCATAATCGCGCCTTGTAATTCCCGCGCTCTCTCGTCGTGCACCACAATATACATACGCGTGTGTACACTTTTGTCCTCGAGCGTTTCTCTCTCGGATGTGTGTGTAATATACGTGTGATGCTTCCCTCGTTGGTTGCGAGCCTCGCGGCCAGTGCATCTTTGGGCCGACCGGCTCGTTCTTTCGAGGAGGCACTTATTAGCGGAAAAAAAAAATCCAGATCAGTCTTATCCGTGAGCCAAAGCTCCGCCGGGCGAATTTGAATATCGAGAGCGGCCAGAAAGGTGGCTTCGAGGCTTTTTGTCTGTCTCCTCTTCGTCTCGTGCGAGCCTCGGCATTCGCCAGCATCCCTCAGCACGTTGATTTTTATCAGGACGTGTTTTTAATCGCAGTAGCTTAGAGGTATTATGTTGGCGAAAAATGTACATTAATCACTCCCCGACCGATGCTCTACTTATAATTGCGTGCTCCTCCCTTTCTTTTTTTTTTTTTTTTTTTTTTTTTTACACTTCGCAAAGGAGGCCTGGAATGCCGGCCTTTTCGGCCAAACGTCCCCCGCTCCCTCTATATCTACACATCCGATGCGCGTACTTTTTTCGAATGAGCTCGTCGGAGATGACACGCGCAAACATTTGATTGTTCAACTATTGCGAGAACTAGTACGCCGTTGATTTTTGCCAGGACTGAGATTTTAAACTGATTTTTAAAAAAAATTGAATTTACGGTGACCAAAAAAAAAAAAAAAAAAAATACACGTGTACCTACATTCAATACGAATTCCAGAGCGCAACACAAAAGCACAGCAAAATAACAACAATGATCCATCTCTCTCCCTCTCTCTAGCGACCCATAAATTTCGGCGCAAAATTTACAGCC